TTACTGTACATTGACTGAATACAATAAGAGAATAAAGTTACAATACTTAACAATTGTTTACAGTAGATTACAGTAGATTACAATAGTTAAGATTTCATATAATGTGAGGTGGAATCCTTATTAGGTCCCCTTGGCGCGTTGGCTTCCATATGTCCTATTGTATCTGTACTGGTGATAATGCTTATGGAGAATCTGATGGAATGAACTCACAGAATATTGACCTTTCCTCGTGAGACATTCTGTATATTGCAGATTGTTCTACTTGAGGTAAGGGTAAAGATATCCCTTGGTTTTAATTAATTAAGCACCATGCCATGAAGATATGTGGGGCAGTGGGGGTATAGCTCCACCATTCGTAACTTTAGCACTAAATGGAGGTGAATGGTCAGTTTCATGTACCTATCGCCGTGCTTAGACACACACCACACGCACGCGTACACACGCACCCCCTTCACCCCTTGTAATGCAGGCTATACTTTGAAATGAAACATTTTCAGTGGTTTAAATTCTGTAATTCAATTTTAAACATTGTACAGCATATTGGTGTTACCTGTATTACAAAACTGTCATGGCTATTTATAATATTTCTGTTCCTAATACACATATGAAACATCTGTCCAAATTCTCTGGAGTGGATAGACCAGGTATACTACCGGTTTTCAGTATGTCATATAAGTAAGAGTAAATTTACGCTGCCAGGAAATTATGCAGTATTTCGATATACAAAATCCAAATATCATGCTTTCTCTGTGTGTGTGTTATGAATTCATCAGCATTAGCAAAATCTCCGAAATATTCACAGTGAACTTTATAATTTATACAAAGTGATTTGGCATGGAGATAAAACGCCAGACTTATATTCATGAGGTACTGTGCTTGAATCTCGGTCGGGACGTCGGCTATCCTGTGGGTTTTCATGGGTTTCTTCAGTTCCTCCAGAAAAATTCTGGGATTTCATCTTGATTAGGCTATGACTGCTTCCTTAAAATACCTCGCCAATCTGTTCAACTTATCCTACCATTTGACACTATACAGTTTAATTATGACAGCATTATAAAATAACCTAAGAATAATGTATACATGTCACTTTCTGTTGAGTAGTTAGGTCACAGCAATTTTGATGGCTAGATATGTAACTTGGGTAGAATAAGCTAAGAAATGTTTACAGAATGTTGGTGGTAAAAGTTCATGGAAGGCAGCCATTTGGAAGTAACAAGAAAGAGACAAAGTCTAAACTATGCATCTTTCAAGCTGAACAATCATCAGAAATAGTGAAACAAGTGGTATATGTCATTGATGTCATCAGTGATAATGTTTTCAACAACCATTTGGATGGATGTTTCCTCAAGTGAGCCCTGAAATATTTTGTCCTGCAGTATGATTCATGTATGGAAAAGTCTGCTCATGACTGGAGTTGAGTCCCATTTCCAATGCAGCCATTGTGTTAGCTTTCCAAGATATGTATATGCTGCTTTGTATAGAATAGTCAGTAGTTATATGCACATTATTTTATCATTGAAATATACTTAATGTGTGGCTTTCCTTACAGGACACGTCTTGGGGAGAGGATGGTGAGCATGAGCTCCACGCTGGTGGAGACTGTTTCCATCAACTATGAAGACTTCAATGAGAGTTTTTTGACTTGTGGCACATGTCTCTGTGAGTCTACAGTGATCCATGACAATTACCTATAGAGACAACAGAATACCTAGCTCTAAGTTAATATCACCTTAAGAGGGGTTGTCATGTTCTCTGTCATTGAGTGCTTGAATATCTGAAGCAAGACATTGACATTGTTGTTAAAATGTTTTACCATACTCTCATCTTCTGAGCTGTGAAACCATGTATTCTGGTAGGTGATTACCATTGTTTCGAAAGAAAATGGTGCCTTCATCTTCAGGTTAAAAGTGAACCATGTTGGAAAGGGGGCAGGTTGTGTAGAAGAGGTAAAGGGAATGGGTAATAAGATATTGCCGTTTTTATTAAAATGTTTTATAATGTGATTTTCTGGGTTATGTCACTATGTAGTTTGGTAGGTAATTGCAGATATTTTAGAGAAATGTGCTGCCTCCATCTTGAGAGTAGAAGAGAGTCAAGTTCTGACAGGTATACAGGGTGTAACTGAAAGGTGTGGACAATCAAAGATACCAAAACAATAAACACTGTCCATATAAACATGTGCCTAGCAACATTTAATTTCTAAGTTCTAAGTGAAAGTGTACATGTATAATAAGTGCTCAAAATATCCCTCATGTTGATAGGGATGTAGATGTCTGCGTAAGATATGGGGGTGAAGAGTAAAATGTTTCGCACAAGACCATTTGGAGGATACTGCATAAACAGTTGCTTTAGCCTTACCGTTTAGAAGCGCAGGGTCTCATGCCTGCTGATTTTCCCAGGGGAGACAACTTTTGTCAATGTTTTGTTCAGCTCTGTGCTGAGTATTTCTTTGTTTCATTGGTGCTCTTTGCAGGCGATGCATGTTTCGGTAGATTCCATCACCACTATTCACAACCAATACCAGTGGGCAGAGGAGAATCCTCATGGTGTGGCCCATTCTAGACACCAACAATAGTCAGCATTAATGTATGGGCAGGGATTGTTGGTGATTGTTTAGTAGGCCTGCATGTTTTAGTATATCGGCTTTCAGGCAACAACTACCAAGACTTCCTCTTCCATGATCTGCCAAAGCTACTGAAAGATGTGCCACTGGCAGTCAGAGCATAACTGTGGTACATGGATGATGGTGCTCCGGCACATTTTAGCCAGGCTGCAAGCTGGTCTCAGTAACACCTGTCAGTAAGCGGCCTCCGTAGTCTAGGGGTAACGTTCCCACCTTGTGACTCAAGGTACGCGGGTTCAAACCCGGCAGAGGTCGTGGAATTTTTAAGGGCAGAAACGTTCAGGGAACAAGTCCTCCGGGAGGGACTTTAAGCCGTGGGTCCCGTGTCGTAGCTTTACGGCATGTAAAAGAAGCTCATGTCTCCAAAGGAGGCCACTGAGCAAAATTACGGACGTTTCCCGCCCAACAATAGTCTCTAACACCTCTGGTAGATGGGGGAAGCATTATAGATACCACTCAGCTAGTAGAGGCCGATCTCGCTGGCTGGGCGGGACTGATGGTAAGCACCAGTACCGGTAGGATATAGAGACTGGTAGAATATCATAGAGGGAAGCACAATGGACCAAGATAGGTCTAAGTGCATGGGGAAACCCACCCTCTCCAATAACTAACTAACTAACTAACGCCTGTCAGTACTGATGGATAGGTAAAGGAATACCAACTGCATCCACTTGCACCACATTTGAATCCTATGGATTCTTACCTGTAGGAACACCTAAGAATCCTCGCATATGCAGTTCCTATTGACAGGTGGGCAATTTACCATTGCATTGTGGTCGCCATTCAGTCTATCTGCAGTTACTCCAGCATCTTTGAATGTTTGTGGCAGTCCATGATATGGCGTATTGAGGCATGCATTGAATCTCATGGATGACATTTTGAGCACTTAGTGTGAACATGCTCTTTCAGCTCTGAGTCACAAATTAAATGCTTCCAGACACACGTTGATATGAACATTTTTGGTATGTGAGACTCGTGCCAAAAATTTTCCTACACCTTTTAATTACACCCTGTACAGATGAGGTGTGAGTGGGTGACAGAAAATAGAGTCATAGAGGCTCTGCTTGCCACCTGCTTTCATTCTTATTTCTTGCCTGGCTTATTCTTCAACCCTGAAGGCGATATGTTCCTCTGAAATGTCGATTGACTTTCAGCAGAATACATGGCATTATATTGCAGAAGATAGTACTCTTCCTTAGAGGCAACATGCTCTTCAGAAACACTTGTACAAGCTCCATAGGTTGTGAGCTCTGAGATACATGAAAATGATGAGTCTGATTATAAACAGGCCAGTGTTATCGAAGTAGAGTTTGTGTACATTGTAGTCCAAGGGGACACACTAATTATATAATAAAATGTAATATGCTCTTTGTTGTTTAAGACTCATAATGCTATCAAGTAATCTGTTATGTATATATTTGTAGGTCTATTGCACTGTGGATGTGATGATTCAATTTTAGATTTAACGTTCTTACAATAGTGACTACTATATAGTCTGGTAGAAATTTACCTGGAAGAATTGGTCACTGGACCTCAAGGGGAAGAATATATAACAAAGAAGCTTGGCTTGTTTGATTTGGAGCTTCTCAGATATGCAAACATTGTGTAGAGTAGCCTTCCCATGGAAGACAGTTATGTTAGATTTAAGATTCTCACAGCAGTGGCTGTGAAAATCACCATCTTCTGCTGTGTAATGCTGTATAGCCTGACAGAAGTTCACTGGACTACATGGCATTACATCCCAGAGGGTAGGGCTCTTCATGATGATTCCAATTTTAAATATTTTTATTCTTCCAGTTAAGTCTTTCACTTCAGATTTTTAAATATTATGCTTATTCAGAGTCTTTGAAATGCATTTATACTTATTGCCAAAATGGTCATTTAAATTATATGCTTGTCTTCCATTGACTTTCTACTAATTGCTAATTCTCAGAAAACCTGCCTTTATTGTATTATTA